GTCCGAGGTTTAAACCAGATTCTGATCACTTAAACCAGTTTGTGTGTAAAATGTCTGTACCTAGCCTAGGTGTCTCCTGCATGGCTCAGACCCCAGGGCTTGCACCAAAGGTCTCAAACTCAAGGTCATTCAAAAAACAAGAATCCAAAAAGGAAATGCTGAGAGCACAGGGACTTTGCTCCACTGCTTTTTACATGCTAAGGTGCAAAGGGTACCTCTCACTGCCCCAGCTGAAAGTCAAGGACAAGCCAGGGAGCATGACACAAGTCAGGAGGAGTCAGGGCGTCACGGTAGTTTCATACTAGTGATTTGCCTAGATTCACACTTATGAGTCAGTGCATACATTCATTTGGCTGAATCCACCGGAGAGGCTGGACCTGCAGACCCTAGAAATGCCCCACGCTGGCCGAAACGGTGACCGGCCGTCCCAGGAGCCAGGTCCTCACCTGCTTCTCCTCTTTGGGCAGGGCCTTCCGGGCCTCGTTCTTGTCCACAAAGTACTTGTGTATTTCCTTGAAGTCGCACTTGTCCAGGCTCTGGATGATCTCCTGCTCCTTCTCCGTCATTTCCTGCACAAAATCCAGACAGGTCTCAGTGAACCGACAGGCAAAGTTGACTTTGCACCGAGCTCGGAGGCCCCAAAAGAGAAGAGAAGGGAAGGCCTTAAGCATTTTGGGGGAGTTGCATGAGGGCATCAGTCAGCACCATCCCATCCATACTGAAAGCACTGGCTTGTGAGAAGCTGTATCTGGGAACTTTATTATTTCCCAGGAGAGGGTTGGACTAGATGATGTCTGGAGGCCCCTCCTAGCCCTACTTCCCCAGGATTTCTATGAAATCAAGCGGCTGCTTCTGAAAAATGCAAGCCTGTGAACAGGGGCAGCGGTGAAATGCAGCCACCTCTTGGGTGGAGCAGTGCGAAGGGAAAAAGGAAGCAGCCCGAGATGGCACACACCCAAGCCTGAGTGTCTGCAAGGGGATGGGGGTGAAGGGCACTGAACAGAAGTTAGTGTGTGCAAGATCCCCAGGGGTGCCCATGCAGGGAAGACATGGATTTGCTGTGCGCTACCTGCTCCAGAAGCTTAGTGCACATGAGTTGCGAGGCATTTCTCCTTGCCTAAAAATCAGATGAGGCCCTACTGCATTCAGGCCTCATGGATATGGGACAGCAAGCATGCAGTGAGCTGGGGCTGCACATCTCCTCTGCAAACCCTCTCCCTTCGGACACTCACAAGCGCCAAGTACCAGGAACGTAGTGAGCTTGGCAAATGGAGTTGGCTACCTCTGTCACTTGAGGTGGATATATAGGTGGATCTAGACTCTTGAAAAGGGGGGTGCAGGTGTATCATCACCTATAAACACCATGCATTTTTCTCCAGGTCAAAGTAAACGAGAAGCTTGACTACTGTGCTAGGGGCCTAGGGAGGCAGGCTGCAGTTTAAGATCGAAGCAAAAACAAATATAATGCCATTGGAATGAGTTAAAAAAAATCTGTGAAATAGGAGCAGAAGCAACTCGCAGACAGTAGGATGGCAAAAAGAAAGGCCAGCCTGACTGGCAGAACATCAAGACTATTGAAAAGAAGAGAGTCATTAACACCCGTGAGATGATGAGTTTAGAAGGGATTAGGTACATTATAATGAACCATGAAGTTGAGGGGTGACTGACCCCTGCTCCTCCTCCTGCTATACACCTGGGCCTTGCCATTCCCCAACTACCATGCTCTACAGATGACATGCCACTACCCTAGTGACATCATAGCATGACCTCACAGCTCGTAACAGAGGCTTTTTACTCGTGAATTGCAAGACTGAGGAAGCAGTACCTCTTTCCAGTCCCTGAAGAAGTTGTTCTGGAAAATCTCTTTGGTGGTATACTCGTGATCCAGCATTTTAGCATAGAAGGTGGCGATTTCTTCTGTGGCCAAACTCAGCTTCATAGGCTGGCCTGCAAGAAAAGATGGGCTTTTTTTTTTTTAGCAACCACATGATCCCACTTTAACCCCCGTCTCATCGCATCTGCATTGGCTCCGTCACACACAGACACCTCACTTGCACCAGGCGATTGCCATCAGACAGGGACAGATGTTGCCTGCAAATTTTACTTCGAAGGTGCCGCTTCTCCGCTCAGCTGGAGCAGAGCCGCGTCCCCAACGCCGATGGGAGAATCGGCACCTTTGGCAGGAAGGCCGTGGCAAGCAGCAGGAGCCCCTTGTAGCCATCCACTGGAGCCCTGTGTTTAACCATGCCCTTTCCGCAGACATTTTGCAAATGCTCATCTTTGCAGCATGGTCAGAATAGCTGGGTTTCTCCCAGCGTACCCATCAACCTGCCCTCTAGCACCTGAGCTACCCCGATGCATGGGGCAGATTTGCAGCTACAATGGGCCGGCAATGCTGGCACGGTTTCAGCCCTCTCCTTTGAGCGTATGATGCCGTCTGCTCTATACCGAGCTCTCGGAGGTAAACAGAGGCAGCACCACTTGTCTGGCCCATTTCCCTTGCCACATAGGGGACCAGATACTCCTCGGTTTTCCTGCCCAAATGGCAGAGACTGACTTACCATCATAGTAAAACTTGACGTCGTCCGGGAGCGGCTCGTACAAAGGGGCGAAGTAGGGTCCTTTGTGCTCCAGCTGCTTCCATTTCACTTTGTCCTCGGTCTTCTCCTCTTCCCACCTTGGAGACGGGGAGATGGGGATGGATTAGGGACACCCTGGCACTAGACGGCTTTGGACCCTTGGCTCTTAAGACTCAGTGGGGACAGCCCCAGCCCACAACAGCGTCGGGAGGATGCCTACAGGCACCAAGGGAGAAGCAGACCGTGGGGCAGCGTTTAGCACTGTGCAGTCAGCTCCAAGTGCAGCAGGAAAGAAGAATCAGGACCAGGAGACAGTGCTAAGGGCCAGGGCATTGGCCTGGGGCTCGGGCATCCTGGAGCCAATGCCCAGCTCTGCCACTGACTTCCTGCGTGACCTTGGGCAAGTCACTCAATCTTCTACAACTGCTGCAAAGGGAGGCATGCTGCATGGACACTGCCAGGGGCTGCAATACTCCTTGCTATCCCCCACCCCTCCAGCCCTTGCTTTGGCATGGGCTACACCTGCCTGTAGCCCTCGGGCAGCCTGAATGCTGCGGAGCTGCCCACAGCCAGGGCACGGGAGGAGCCACCCCAGGGTGGGTCAAAGCAGCCGACCAACACGCTTATACCTGCCGTGGCTCCGGCTTTCGGTCTGGTGGATCAGAGGGCAACACATCCTACCAGCATCCCGGCTCCCGTGACTTCTCACGTGGAAGTGTTTAGAGCCACTCCCCCTGCCCACCTCCTCCCCCTCATTTTTCTCTCTCGTTATCTCTCATTTATTTATGCATATAGCCTTTTTTTTTTTTTTTTGCCAAAAATATAATGCAGCCCCGGCCTTGTTCCTCACTGTTGGGAAAGAAAAATGACATTTTTCACCTGTTGTTTTGCAAAGGAAAAGAAATGCAATTCCTGACTGCCTGGAGTCCAGCCCCAACCAGAGCAGCAAAGCATCCTGGGACATGTAGTTGCACACGTGCATGTTTGAGTCAATGCCACAGGCTTAAGGAGTCACCATGCAACAAAAGCCCCATCCGTGCACTGCAGCCTCCTCCGCAGGGAGGGAGCACAGCATCAGTGCCAGCCCGCAAGGGGATGGGAGGGATGATTAAGATGCCAGGGATAAAAAAAAATAAAAAAATAACTAAATAAAAGGAAAGATTTTGGTGCTTGTCCCCCTCTCCCCTCCTTTCTGCTACATGCGTCAGGGGGTTTAAGCCTCCTCCAGAGGCACTGGGTGTTAGGGATGGGGCTGGGCTGTGCTGGCACCAACCCCACAGGGTCCTGGCTACAGGGTTTTGCCCTTCTGCCCAGGGCCAGACCGATCCCTATATTTGGGGTCAGGAGGAATTGCCCCTGGTCAGATTGATATGGACTGCAGGAGTTTTGCCTTCCTCTGTAGCAGGGGCATGGCCTCTACCCGGGATCTCCTGTGTGTGTATTAACCACCGCTTAGAGAAGCAGGACATGGCTGCTGTGATCCCCCTGCTTTGCCTGGGGCAGATTTGGGGGTGATGTCTCGCGTTGCATCAGGGTTGACAGCAGCTTTACAAAGAGGCTGGACTATGGATGTGTATGGGGTGGTTTGGACGGGCCTGACCCTGCCTCAGGCCGGGGCTGGACTCGATGTGAGCTCTGGAGCTCCCTCCCAGCCCCGCTGCTCTGCTCTTTGACTATGATTTTAAGAAAATTGCGCTCATGAACCATGAGTGCAGAGAAGGCAGAGAGGTCCCGGGCTGCCAGCAAAGAGATGAGATGGACCTGATCGATTAGCGGCAGAAATATGATCAACTTTTAGTGAAGAGCCTCCATTTAAAATGCATCAGCTGCCAGAGGAAGGGTGTTTGTACCCAAAAGCTTGCAAAGAGCCATTTTTCCAACTATTTAGTTGGTCTAATAAAAACCATCACATTTACCCAAAGAACCTCGTTGTCTAACCTCTTTACATGCTGGTTTCTAATTGCATAGGGATGAGACTCCAGAGTCACCTACTGACCACAGGGAGAATAGCAAGGACCTCTAATGCAAGCGGTAGAGGGATTGCTCTCCTCGCACCAGCTGCCCTAGTTTATTTTTAAAACAATTTAAAAGCAGCGAGACCAAGAAAAGAGATGCTGGCCAGGAACAAAAAGGATGCACCCTCACCTCGTTGCACACGGGCAGGGGTAACACACCTGGTACAGTGTGCACAGCACCACGCCTGCTAAAACAGGGGGGGCTGACCTTGCTAGCAGGGGGGTTGCACCCTCGAGCTCGAGGCAGCCTCAGATCAGACCAGGCATCCCTGGTCAGACAATGGGGAAATTCTGCTGGAGACCGAAACCCAACTTAAATCAATACTTTAGGGAGGGGAGGAAAAAAAAAAAAAAGACATCCTCGACGCAGGACATTCAACAGCACCCAGCCCTGAGGTCGGGGCACTCACCACTTCCATTTACTCTCTTCTTCCTTTTTCTTTTTCTCCTTCTCATTTTCCTCCGTCTTCGCCTTCTTGCTTTTCTTCTTGTCTCCCTCTTCTGCGGTTTTCCTTTTCTGAGCCGGACCCTCCTTCTCCGGCTTCTCCGACGCCTTCTTGCCCTTCTCTTTGGGTGCGTTTTCTTCCTTGGCTTTCCTCCGCTTGGCTGGTTTTTCCCCCTTGGCTTTAGTCTTTGCATCTTTCTCGTCCTCCAGGCCATTTTCCACCTTCACTTTCTCATCGGACTCGACGCTCTCACTTTTCCCCAGCCCGTTGCCCTCGCACTCCTCCTTTATTCCTCCGTCTCCCCCTCTCTCCGGCTCACTTTCCTCTTCTTCCTTCACTCCCTTCACACCTCCCCTCCGTTCCCCTTCCTCCGTCTTCTCCACTTCTGGCTCTTCCTTCAGGCTTTCAAGCCTCGGTGGTTTCTCGTGTCCCACTTTTCCCCCTTCCCTTTTCTTCTTCTTGGTCTTTTCTCCTTTCCCTTCCTGCCCTTTCTCCTTCTGGCTCTTTGCTGCCTTCTCCGCCCGGACATGCTTTTTCCCTCCCTCTGTCTCTTTCCCTTTTTCCCCCCCCCCGGTCTCTTCCCCTCCCCCTCCCGGGCTTGCCCGGGGCTCCTCCGGTGTTGCTCCCTCTGCCCACCCGACCCCGTCCTCTGCTTGCCCTGGCTGCAGTTCATCCTCGCCTTTCTGTGCGTGGTCCTCCTCTTCCACACTCCCTCCTTTTTCCTCTTCCCTATCATGGTCACATCCCCCTTTCCTGTCCTTTTCCACCTTGCCGTCCTCTGCCAACACCGCTTTGGCACCCACTCTCGCTCTCTTGGCTTTGCTTTCCTTCGGGGCATCGCTCTTCCCATGGCTCCTTCCCTTCCCGGGAGCACCCTCCTTCTTCGGCTTCTCTTTCTGCCCCAGCTCCTCTCTGCCATCCTTCAGGTCCCTTTTCCCTTTCTTTTTTTCTCTCTTCTTTCCTCCATCCTCCTCCCTTCTCCTTTTCAGGCCTTGGACATGTATATCTCCCATCTGCTCCAGCACAAGCAAACCAGCTTTCCCCTCCTTGTCCTTGCCTTCTTCCGGGATATCACCGATTTCAGCTTTAGCACCCGTGTCTGTGGACAAACCTCCATGATTTGCAAAGAAGTCTTCGTTCTCCCGAGAGACCCCACTGGCCTCTATTTCCTCTTGCCTTGGAGCCTGGCAGGAACGAGAGAGAGAGAAAAACCATCTAGTTAGCACCAGGGTTGGAAACTTTACAAACAAGGCCCAGATTTCACTGGTCATCTACGTGGGCACAGATCCAACCCCGGGAGCAGAAGACAAGTCTCTTTTGAGCCTCCTCACAGGTGCCCAGCCACAAACACTGGTGCATCGAGCAGGTTTTACCGAGGGAAATGAGATGGTGAGGAGGACGGACTCGCTTCTCATGGGCACCACGGCAGGAGAAGAGCGTGGGGGGGCGTTTCAGGGGCACCTGCGGCAGGAAAAGGGTATTTGCAGGACATAAGGGATGCCGACGGGCGGGTGAGAAAGCCAGCTGGGGAAGCAGGAAGGGATGGAAGGGAACAGGCACCGAGGATAAGATGTTCAAATGCAACATCAGGGACCCAGGACGGTACGAAGTCACGGCTCGGGGGCACTGGGTTGCACCCTGAGCAGGGGGAGGTTGTGGAGGCTTGTGTGGCTGGGCCAAAACAATGCTGATTTACACCAGCTTGGCCCACCGCTTCCAACCCAAAGCAGCCTAGGGAGGTTACAGCACTCAGAGAAAGCATTCCTGAAACCAAAGAGGAACAGCAAAGCCCACCCAGCTGTCACAGGCACATCATCCAAAGCATTTGCAGACACCGCAGCATCTCCAAGCCACGGGACGCCCCCCGCCAGGCTCTGACCTCGGCTCCTGGGAGCTTCCCCTCCGTTTCCGTTCTCGTCGTCTCCGGTGCATGCTCCAACCTGCAAGGGAGCAGCAGCTAATTACTAACGGATGCAAAAACCTTCCCTTCCCACCCTGCCCCATTCGCACCGAATCGCCAGCAAAACCACGCTTGGGTGTGTAGACAGCACCCAAAGTGACGTGAGAAAAACCCATGGGGAGAAGGAGAGACCACAGGTCTCAGGCAGGGACAGGTGTGGATCTGGATATGGATCCCTAGGGAGTGCCCGATGCTGGGCTGAAGGACAGCAGAGAGGAAGGAGCTGCGTTTTGGTGTTAAAAGCAAGAAGCCCAAGACTTGGAGAGTCCAGCTGCATCCATAGCTCCAGAGAGAGCTCCGGTGGGAAGAGACAACACCGCCAATGCAAACTAAATCAGCAGCTCCCAATGCAACCGCAGCTGCTGGGTGCAAACCTTTCAGTGCTCTCCCCGCCATCCTCCACCCTCGGTGGGGGCACGTCATGGCCATTGCAATCTGGGACGTCCTCAGCGCTCTGGAGGGCTCTGAAATGAAAAGCAAGACGGGGGATCTCAGGCTGGGTAATGCTGCAATCCAGGTCGAGGGCTGGCAAGTCCCCGTGCTGCTACCTGCTTCTCACAGCTCCCGAGAGGGTCAAGCCTCACAACTCTGGTTACTCAGTGAGTGTAAAGTTGCTATATCCCTTCGCTGGTGTGGGGCACGGGCATTGCTTGCTGCAGTAACAAGCTTGGTTATTAGCCCAGAGCTAACTCCAGCACCCTGCAAAGGGATTCACCTCCCAAGGGCTGGCAGGGAGGGCAGAAGGGGAAGATGCTTTAGCCTACAGGAATGAGGCAGGGACTAGGATACATCACAGGGTGAATGCAGAGATCTGGATATAATGGAGGTACGCGGAGAGTGCATGATGCTGGGCTGAAGAAGAGGAGAGGAAGAAGTTGTGCTTCTATGTTAAAAGAGTAAAGCATGCTATTTAGTATAAAGGAAGTGACACGAGACCCCAGATGAGACCCTCAGCACCACTGCCTATGGCATCTCCCTAGGGGAGCTTCTTCGCTGCAGAGTTCATTCAGACTCTTATGTAAGGGTTGCTCCTAACCCCTCTCCTGTCCACACACCAGACCCCCTGAGCCGAGGTCTCTGCACCCAGCCTAGGGGGCTATCAGCCAATGCTGCATTCACTGGCTTTGGCATCGTTGTTACTTTGCAGAGACCAGGGGGGAGTACGGCTCCAGGTGTCCTGGTGACACCCCACCGGTGAGCGTGCACGAGTGAGGACACAGCAGCTCCGATAGGCTTTTGCAGCATGGCAGCTCACACCCAGGCTAGGCGAATCCAGATATGCAGACCCAATGCCACCACCCTGGTAAGCTCAGAGACCCTATCCACATACTCACCGGCTTCTCTCCCCTGTCCTGTCTAGAGGCAAGCAGCCCGTCTGAAAAGGACTATGCATCCCACAGCAAGCATCATCTGCCTCACTATAAGTTACAGGATCTCAGGACTAATGGAGAAGCTCAGCCCCGTTGCTTCACCACAGCAGTGGGCACAGAAACAAAGAGGTCCTATCTAAATCATGGCCAAAGCATGCTGCGAGTCTCTGCCTTGTGGAAATGATGTCTATGAGTATGAAATCAGGACTCTTTTGAGCTGGGAAGAAGCCCAAAAAAACCAAGGAAGCCAGAAACAAGTTGCTTCAGGGAGAGGCAGAGGGATGAGTGCACTGGGTTGGCAGGGGATGGGGTTTGGTAGCTTCTACTGCAGCAGAGATGGACAAAACAGGATGCCATTCATTGATGCTTAGTGCTTATTGTACTTCCACCCCCGGTAAAAGCACAAGCATTTAAAATGAAGACAACTAGAAATGAAAGACTAGAAGAGGCCATGAGACCCAGTCCACTTCTTCCACATTTAGTTTACTGCCCTTGGGACCCAAAGAAGCCATGCTACCTATGCTTATAGGGCCTATTATTTCCCAATGGATCAGTTCCCCTGATACAGCGATTGCCACGCGGCATGTCCCGCAGCAGATACAGGTTAAAGACAGATTAGTCTAAGCTGCTCAAGCTGCACGCTGGCCCCAGGGAGCGGAGAGCCTTTGCCAGCATGCAGGTTGAATATTAGCCACCGTAAAAAAATCAAGCAGGGTCACAACCCCAGAAACCCAGGGCTAAAAGTCCAGCCTTGGTGCAAACTCCTTTCCAAAGCAAAGGGGGATGTTGGTTTTTATCCGATGCCACTGAAATGCTGGAATGATGAATGCAAGGCAGCTCCAAAAGCAGATTAGTTTCACTCCAAGAAGTTCAATTACAGCTACTTAGGCCAAGAGGCGCACGCAGCAACCACCGACTCGCACTGCAATAGCTGTGTGTCCATGAACACACCAGCCTTGGTTTTTAACAAGCAATCTTGCTGGTCTAGATGCTGCGTGCATGGCAGGAGATATTTCCGATGGCTCTCCCACAGCATTGCTCTCGCTGGCCGTGGGCTATGAGGCTCGATAACGTCAGTCACACGACAAGACAGCATGAAGTCTTTTGCCAGAGAAATTGGGGGTGAAATCTCCGGGCTGTTTTGCAGAAGGCTGGATGATACCAATGGTACCTTATTCAGAGTCAGCGAATGACCTGCGGGGCTTTCCCTCGGGCAGGGTCAGCAAAGTGGTCATGCATCTAGGTTTCCCATATGCTGATCGACGTCCAGAAACCTCAAGTGATGTACCAGTCAGCACGGGTCAAGATCAGTGTGTCGGGACACAATCACACCTTGGGTTTAACTGTGTCAAAGCAAGGAGTTTGTCACTCCTAAACTAGCCTGACAATGTCCAGCTCCACTATGCCCCAGCTAGAAATAAAAAGACAGCAGCGCGGTGATGATCCTTGCCTTCCTCCTTCCAAAACGCAGAGGTAAAAAAACCCAAAAAACCCCCACTGAACAGGATCTGGAGCAGAGTTAGCATTTAATAATTTCCTAGGGGATAGCTGCAAAGGTGCAGGGTATGTCCTTATTCTTATGCACAAGGGAGTTGTGCCTGGAGAGTCACCAAGGGCTTTCTGGCTTCAAAACCCTTGCTTTCAGCGTGCAAAACCATCGACGCAAAACCTTTTGTTGCTGCCTTGAGGGAAGAGTGTCCCAGAGCGAGTTGGAAACATCGCTGCTTTCTGACAGTCGAGATGGGAAGCAGGAAAGATGCTCTCCTGAGGACTAATAGATGGGAACACAGACAGTTGCCATCTATTAATGGTCTCACACAGCCCGGTCTTTCTTCCAACAAGAGGCCCCTGAAGTCCTGACTCCACGACGAGGGGAGGATTATGCATTGAAAACAAGACCGTCCCTTCCTATCTCTGCACAACAACAAATCATAGCAATGCAAAGGGAATATAAACCCACTGGCCTCTGACAAGCAGATCATCTAGCCTAGTGCTTTCCACAAAGATCATGGCTGTATTTACCCAGAGGCATGCAGTCAGCCTCTCCCAGACGTACATGTTCCCTTTTTCCCTGACCTGATGCTTTAACAGTTTCATCATATGCCCAGTAAAATAAAATGGTACAGATCATTAGACAGGATGACAGACATCAGACTAAAAGCCAGAGCCTTCACTCCGTTTGTCCGGGTAGAAGAAAGCTGACAACTCTAAGTTCAGAGCCAATTCCCTGCTTTGCCTCAGACAAAATCACTCCTCTATCCAAACCATCCTATGCAAATGCATAATCTAACCTCTGCTGCAAAGATTGAGCCTCTATGCTCAAGAAAACACAGGGAGAGGGCCAATCCCTTCCTTCCTGCAGAAGGCAAACCCCCACAAAGTCCCACAAAATTTGACCAGCGGGTAAAAGTTTCTTCCTGACCCCAAATAGGGTGATCGAAGTGAAGGGGCAAGACCCTCTAGCCGGGAACCTCCAGCTTTACGTCCCAATAGGAGCAGTGGCACAGCCCGGTCTGCAAACTAGGCTGGGGATTTTGACAACACCCAATAGCTATGAGAGGGGGCTCAAAAACACCCTGCCACATGTAAAGCCTTCTAACACTCCCCTATAAATGATAGTTGTGGTATGTCTGTACTAGACTCTGTCCACTCCCAACAGATCTCCTAGTACTCGTGCCAGCCATGAGAGCCCTAGTGTAGACAAGGCGCCAGCAGCCTCTTCCCCCTACGGCGCTGCAGAGACATTGGTGCTGAAGCTACGTTCAGCTTCCCCTAGGCTCTGAGCTAATTTGCGTCCCTTTTAAAACACCCCTCTGTCTGATCCTACCACCACCATCAGCCCCACACACCCTGCTGTAGAAGTGCTTTGGAAACCCATGACACCAAGAAGTTTAACGCCATTCCCTTGCCCTCCGTGGGAGCAGCCCCTACTTACTTCAAGGCACTCTCCAGTCCTGAGAACGGATTCTGGGCCATGACAGAGTCCATCTCCACCTGAAAGAGATTGCATTGCCTTTGGCACCGTGAAACACCTGTTTCCTGAGATACAACCCACACCTGAATGGCCTCGATATCCCCCTGCAACAGAGACGCAGCTCAGCTAACAGCCTGCCCCATGCCCAGCATCTCCCACTTGCTCTCCTGGGCTGATTTCCTCAGAAATGGGGGACCCCGAGTCCATTCTGGAACCTAAATATGTGCTCTGGTTTTCAGAGGCACCTAAGTGAAGGCTGTGGTGACCCGTCTGTGTACGATTACTAGATTATTATGGCTAAGAAACAATTTGGAAGCACGGAAATTGCAGGCCAAATGCAGCAAATTTACAATCTAACTCTGCATCACATCCAGCAAGGGTGGCAGAAGGGGACATTAGGTTCACAGCAATAAGATCAGGCAGCTGCCAAGCTAGGACATGATAAGGTAACAGCTCCACCAGTTCCTCCATCAGGAGAACTTGTACAATCTTTTCTCCGATGCCTGATGAAGCATGCTTGTGACCGAAAGCTTGCAAATAAAGAATTTTTTTTTGCATAAGGGGTACATTATTTCATTACGACATTACATTCACTCAAACAAGCGGTATGTAACGTGGTGGTGGTGTGGGGGGGTTGTTATGAAGGGAGGCATTTTTGTTTGTTTGTTGTTTAAGTCTAAGGCTGCCAAGATCATGTGGGCATTTTGGGAGAAGGTTAAAAGCAACTGCTTCTGGAGCAATATCTTAATGCTAGTTATGAATTAAGGGTGTGCACTGCCCGCAAGCTCAATCGTCGCCTCCGGACGCATCTCCCTTGCAATTCACAATCCTCTCTGGAATCGCACAATTGCACAGAGGAAGGAGATAAACGGTAGGACCCCCAAAAAACTCGTGTTTAGCTCTATTGGCATAGAGACACGGCTGGCCAACAACTAATGGTGACCGCTCATTCGGGGTGGAAGAAATGTGCTCCAATATTAATAACGTCCTAGTGACTTCCACAGAAGTCTTGAGGGTTCAAGGCTTTACTCCCCCCAACCCAAATGCCACAGTCAAAGGACTCCAGTGTAGTTAGAGGGTGAAGGCCTGTCCCGTGCACTGCGGGCAGGTCGGCCCCCGAGAGAGTCTGCAAATGCATTCAAATGCAAAGATCTCAGTTACACAATTTATGGGGGGTTGCTCTCAGACTTTCCTTCTAGCTTGCGCCTTTGGGCTTTTGGCTTGGGGCCAGTGAGACTGGGGGGCACCTTTACTCCAAGGCCTCCAGGCTTGGGGTTTGCACGTAGGATGCCTGCCATGGATCTGGGAGGACCTGAAGACTGATGAGTCTGGGAGGTGGGATACTGGCTGGTGGTAACACCACTCGGACTTGAATGGCCGAGCTCTTCTCAGTCGAAATGAGGAGAGGCTGAGGGAACTGGGCTTGTTTAGTCCAAAGAGAAAAGACTGAGGGGGATTGAACAGCAGCCTTCACCTCCCTGCAGGGGGGCTGCACAGAGGATGGAGCTGGGCTGGTCTCAGTGGGGGCAGATGGCAGGACAAGGAGCAATGGGCTCAAGCTGCAGCAATGGAAGTTGAGGCTGGATATTAGGAAAAACTCTCACTAGGAGGGTAGTAAAGTACTGGAACAGGTTACCCAGAGAGGTGGTGGACTCTCCATCCTTGGAGGTGTTTAAGACCCAGGTAGACAAAGCCCTGGCTGGGATGATGTAGTTGAGGCTGGTCTTGCTTGGAGCAGGGGGTTGGACTACATGCAACCTCCTGAGGTCCCTCCCAACCCTCATTTTCTATGAGTCTATTAAATTTAGAACTTAATTCAGAACTGATATGGGCCTGGAAACAAAAAGTTATTTAAAAAAACCTGTTTCCTTTCACACTACCCAGGGGCCCAAGAGAATAGAGGCAAAGACCAGGTGCCTTGGCAATGGCGCGGTGCAGATCCAGTCACTGGCACGTTGCACATAAAGCAGTATTTACCTTTTTAAGCACAGAGACCAATCTATCGCCTGCACGAAGCAGGGCTGGTTCTAGCACTTTGTCTAAACGGGCTCTTGATTATGCCAGACGTGCCCTGAAATAGCTGCAGCCCAGTTCATTTGACCCTGCACAGTGCTCCGATGTAATCACCTGACAGCAATCTCACGTTTACAGCAGACCATGCAATTACCCTGCTTGGACTCCAGCCAGGGCACCAAGATGAGCCTAATGGACGCTGCCAGGCCCTTGGTTTTTTCTCTTCTTGACTAGATGGCGTGTCCAGCAGCACAGCTCCGTGCCAGGGCTTGCAGCGGGACAGCTGCTCCGCTCCAGTCCCAAGCATCACAGCTGATATTTTCATCACTGGTCTCCCTCTAAAGGAAAGCCCAGTTGCAAACCAGCCCCTGTTAGTCTGCTATATATCCAAGAGGATGCATCTGCGTGTGCTTCAATTTATATATTCATTCCACTCTGTACCACAGATCTGAACAGACGCATGGCACACATTGTGTCCAATCTATAGGAGAACTAACTGATCCCCTCCTACTAGGAGCTTCCACTCCTCTGCTCTATACCACATGCAGCCTAAAATAGCATTTGTCATGACTTCTCGAAGGCATGCAAGACTTACCTGTCTATGCTTGACTTTCTCCACCTCTGGATCCTTTGGCTTCTCTTCTGGCTTCTGGCCAGAGACTTCATTCTCCGCAGCCACCTCTTGCTTCAGAGAGCTTCTTAGCAAAAAACAAGCAGAATCGACAAAAAAGCAAGGAGTTGAAATCAAGCAAAAGGGCTGTAGGAGAGAGAAGCGCAGCAGACCCACCTCCGTTTCTTTCCCCAGCTACCTACCAACTTTCTCTGATGGTTCAAGTAGATTAAAATTTATCCCAGTTCCCATGGGTCACGTGCCCCCGCCACCCCCCATCACTTACCTGCCATTTATAAACAGGAAAAAAACTTTTAAAACACCGAACTAAGAGCCGTGTTCCTGACCTTGGCTGTGCCAGCTCGTTAGAAGTTACCTGCTGATGATGTTTTCTTGCAAGGGCTTTTCTTTGGATTTCTTCGAATTCTTTTTTTCTTTTGGCCCCGGGGGCTGCGTGTCAAAACAAAAAAAATAGGGAAAATATTTTAGAAGCGCAGCTAGAATAGAGGTCGTTCCTGCCTTACTATAACATATCAGGGATACACAGCATTGAATCATTATAATTTGCTCCACACTAAACGTATCAAAGGTCAGCCAGCTTTGTGGAAAATAAATGCTTTCACTGAGAATCTCAAAACATTGCTCATTGAGCCTTAACTCTGCTGGGTTTAAGGTTTACCCCCATTTTACAGAGGAGGAGACTGAGGTTAAGTCCCATGTTTCAGACCTATTGAGCACACACAAAGCTCATTGAAGTCAACAGGAGGTGGGCACCTCAGAAAGCCAGATGCCCTGGCCAAGGCTGCTCAGGCTTGCAGCTCACTAGAGGACACAGGAATGACGACCCCTAAACCCTTGTTCTACCGTGTGAACTGCTCTCCCTGGTTGCAAAGGGGAGTTTGTGGAGTTCAAGACATAGAGCTTCCTACCAACCCTCAGACAAAGCAATTTTAAGCTATTTATATCACAGGAACATGGAAAAGTCGAGCTGGCAGGGCACTCAGGACATCACATCTACTCCGTGCCTCTGTCAAAGCAGGATTAAAACCCACTAAACCATCCCAGCCAAGTGTCTGGCTCTTGAAAACTTCCAAGGATGGAGATTTCACCACCTTTCTAGGCAGCCTGTTTCAAGGCTTGACCACCCTTAGGGTCAAAGCTCCTCCTAATCCCCAACCTCAGTTTCCCCTGCTGCAATTGAGACCATTGCTCCTTGCCCTGTCCCCTGGAGCCACACAAAATAGCTTCTCTCGGTCCTCTCCATCATCACCCTTCAGGTATCTGCAGGTTTATCAAATCCCCCCTCAGTCTCCCCTTCTCCAGGCTAAATAATCCCAGGTCTCCCAACCATCAGTCATGTTTTCCAGACCTCTAAATCATTGCATTTCCTCCTGTGGCAGTGTGGGGTAGGGAAGTGCAGTTATCCCCACCTCATCCAGGGACGGGATGCTCTGCACGACTTTCCCCGGGGAAGAAATAACCTTTTGCCTCTAAAACGAGCAGCAGGATGCAACGCTGCCGGGGATATAATAAATCCGTCTGTGGCTGCTGCTTCTCCCTTCAAAGGGACAGCGCTCGGTTTTTCCCCTTAAAACCCAATGCACTCTTACCTGATTGCTTTGCTGAGTTTCTTCCTGCTCCCTGCTCCCAGCCTTTGCTTTCGGCTGCTTCTGCTCAGAGTCGCTTTTTATTTTCCTTGAGGAAGAAAAACACATCCGTGAGTGGGGAGAAACGACCCAAAGCAGCCAGCGGGACTTCTTCAAGCTCCTGTCTACACCCAACCAGGTACCAGAAACAAGCGGCATGGTCCAGAAAGCGTTCAGACCACCAACAGGACCAGGGCCACATAAAAGGCAGCTGCGGGCACCACTTTGGTGGACAACAACGACAGTAGCAGTGGGGTTGGTACCCATGGCAGGCCCTTGTCCACACCTGATCGATGCACTTGCTCAGGATGGAGGAGACCAGGGTTCAAATCCCTACTCTGCCTAAAAGAGCTCTCCCTCACCAAGAGGACAGCCCAAACCCAAGGGCTCTAGGTTATTCTAGGTGCAGACATGATCCATCCCTCTTGCAAAACCTGTGCTAATGGGCAGGAGCCAATGCAAGGTTTGCCGGGCCAGTGAGACCACAAGGACCTGGCCCTGCAGTCTAGTGGTTAGGGCAGCAACCTGGGAAGAGGCAATGAAGCTGGGACTCAGAGCCGCATGGCATCTCTTATATAAACCTTTGACATGACAAACCTCTGTACCAGTGAATGGCCTCCCGCCAGCCATTCAACGAGTGCATTAGGTATGAAGTGACAGCATTTCATTGCTGACCCAAGTACCCACCTGCTCACGCCGTCCTTTGTCTTCGAAGATGCCTCCAGATCAGTTTTCTTAGGGCTCCCCATAGCCCTTTTGCCTCCAGACTCCTCTTTATCACTCATCGTGCAAATTCACATCTGCAAACCAAAGGGCTGCATCAACCCACATGCAAGAGAGAAGCACGCTAATAAAATCACCAGAGCCAGGTCTCTGACAAAATCCAGAGAGCTCCATGTTGCTCTTGTGCGATCACACGCCAAAAGGCAGCGAGTCTAGGCGGGGAGCAACTGCAGCATGTGATTTAACGGGAAAGCGGTGAAGCATCTCAAGCTAAATGCATTTATATCTTCCAGTGCTAGACGGCACAAGAAAAGGGCGGTGGGGAAAACACATCTCTGTATGAGCCGGGAATATCAGGGACTAACAGACACTGACAAAGAGAACTTCCTTGGTGAACAAGATTATTTCGGACCATGTTATACAATCAGTGGATGCACGACTTGCACGTTTTATTTTTTTATCTGTATCCTAATGATGTCTACAGGCTTGAACAAAACTGGATTTCTAGGTATGTCAGCTGCTGGACAAACACAAACCGTGAAGTTTAGCATATAACATGCATTTCCCCCCACTGAAAAAGGAGGTCCAAAATGAGGGTGCATCATATACGCAAGCTGCAGCAAGAGAGGTTTAGGTTGGATATTAGGAAAAACTCTCCCCCGAGGAGGGTAGTAAAACACTGGAACAGGTTACTCAGAGAGGTGGTGGGATGTCTATCCTTGGAGGTTTTTAAGGCCTGGCTCAACAAAGCCTTGGCCTGGGTGATGTAGTTGGGGCTGGTCCTGCTTGGAGCAGGGGGTTGCACTAGATGTGACCTCCTGAGCTCCCTTCAACCCTCATTTTCTACGAGTCTATGATACAGCAAAGCTACCTAACTTAATATCCCCGCAATCATTGTACTAAAAGTTGATCAATATTCAATCACATTTTTTTGAGGGAAGAAGAAACCTCTCTCTCAATTTTAGCCCTTTTCAGAGATTTCATAGACTTCAGGGCTGGAAGGGACCTCGCAAGATCATCGGGTCCAGACTGGAGAGGTACACCAGCAAATACAGTTACAAGAGAGAGTTTCCGTGCTAAAAGATTCATGATCTACATATGCAACGCAGACAAAGGACAATAGAGGGAACCAAAGCATTTAAAGCAGCAGGGACTTGCCCAATAAATAAATATATAAACAGCAGCTCAGCACTACAAATGGGAGCAGAGCCCACGTTTTAGGTTAACACCTTGCCCACGAGGTCAGGGGACCACCATGCTGGATAAAGACCCCTCACCCATCCCTGTGGCCATGGGCATCCTCCTGCAGGGCTCAGCACCCTGCTACCCTATAAATGCAAAGGCATGGTGCTTTGGGGGGGCTAATTAACTCTGCCAAGGTAACGAGCAGTGCTACCCCCACTCCGGACCTAGCATGCATGGACTGAGGCCCCAGCTCCACATGAAACAGATGCTCAACTTTGCAAGTCACCAGGCAAGCTCAAATCCCCACGGAAAATCAATACGGAGCTCGGAAGAAAACCTAGGCCAAGCCCCAAGATGACCTTTTATGCATAAACCAAAATATATCAAGGAGTGGAGAAGGTCTACGCAGTCCTCAGTGGGCTTACACTTACCACAAAATTTCTTTGCAATTTTACCATAGTGCAAGCCTACAACAGAGTTAACATTTATTGCACTTGCAAAGAGCATTGGTGAATGCTGGCAACAGCCGAAAAATAAGATGCAATGAGAAATGGGGCACTCTGGTAAATGTAGCCAAACCTTATCTTTCCTTCCAGAGCTGAAAGCATCACCCAACATGAATAAAGCAATAAATAAAATCAAGCCGTAAGGGATTCAAACAATACAACCACATTTGTGGAATACGTTGCAACCCAACCAAACACGACCTAAGTAGCAACCCAAGTTATCCCTGGTAGTTTCCTTAAATCAGCCACTTTTTGCAGGACCTGGAAGCTTTCAGCAAGAAATCCAAGTCCTAACTAGGGGAGTTGTAAACACTTGGAGATCATGAAACACTGGCTCTTATCAAAGCACCTTTGCAAGCTTGTACTGGAATAGGCCCAAACACCAGTGGGCATTTGCTGCTGGGAGATCTCAAGGAGCTCACCTGGACTGGGCTGCACCCAGCTAGATGATGCCTGAGGTCCTTGCAGACTTCTCTCCTGCCTTCTCTCTAGAAGCACTGCCCCCCTTCCAAGGGGGTATTTGAAGACCTGCTGATGACCCCTGATTGGAGGACCAGGTGCCCAAGGTGCATTCTGGGAAATGCAGTCTTCAACTGGAAGTCAAATCCCAAAGGGGTGGGGGAAAAAAAGTCTCCCCTATAAAAAGGAACCTCCATTTATCACAATTATTTTTTAACCACTCACAGCCTAGATGGAGCACTTCTTTCTAAGGCAGGAGATGTAAGGGTAAGTCTCCTTAAGCTTTTCATAGCCTCAAGTGTGCAGCAGAAAGAAGGAAGCTGGTATTTCCCCAAGACACAGGCATTTGGGGGATGTCTGTGACCATGTAGACAGACAAGGGAAACATCTGGGGGCTACAAACATAACCTCCAGGCAGCTTCTGCACCACGACTGCTCCTGGACTTTGGGCCCTGGGGAATGGGCTTTTCTGTTCATCCCTTCTGGGAGCTTTGGCCTCATTGCCATGACTTGCCCAGAAGCTGAGCCTGGGGAAAAAATACTCTCTAGAGCAAATTAGCATGGGTTGGTGCATCTGTTTGCTTAAACCTCTCAACCAAAGCTATGCCCAGCTCTTCTCCTCTTGTTTGGATCCATATTGCTATCTCACCTACTTCTTGCAGCTTGTCTCTACTTTCTCTTCTAGCAAACAAGGAAGTAGAAGCAGCTTTAGATGCACAAAATGCTCTTCCCTTTCTAGGAACAGGTGGGGTAATAAGGGGTAAAGTGGGCTTCAGGGTAGTCTCAGGTTTGCAAAGCAGCTTTGATTGCAAAGGGGCAGTGGAGCAGGCTGAGGAGCACAGGGAAATCCCCAAAACCTAGAAAAAACGCAAGCAGGCATTTCTGGGGAGAGCAGCAGTAAGGTTGGCGTGCCCCAGGGATACAGGTGAGCTCCAAGCTGCCCTAATCCTTGCATTTCCCCAGGGCTTTTTCTGAAGCACAAGCCTTGGACATGCAACCCCAAGCTTGCTCTGAAGAGCAGTTCAGGGCTCAAACCAGCACCCAAGGGAGGTTGTGCAATTGCTGTGGGCTGGTGGACGTTGTTCCCTGTTACCCTTCACTTTAGATTCACCATCTTTTCTGTGAATTGAGCTCCCTTACCTGGCAGCAGACAGTGCATTCCCTTCCTCTCCCAGCCTGTTTCTGAGTCCCAGGGCCCTGCCCTGGGCCTGGCTGCAATCAAGCCCACCTGGGGCTGGTAGAAAGCACCTGGGGGACTTCAGATGCACAGAAAAAGCCTGGATCAGCCACTTTGGGAATGACCCCAACTTCTAGAGCTGGAGTTATTCTGCTGCTGCCATTCAAGTTCATGACCAGGCTTCTCTTGACTGGGGGGGATGATAACAGGAGGCACAAGGACAGCTTATTCTGAGGTCTCTTTGTGCAGGGTTAAGCACTGTATCTGCACTCCTGATAGACAGGGACAGCCCCTTCACAGGTCTGCTTGAACCTGGTGACACCTGGTTTGCAAAATAGGTCTTCTTGAGTGAGTGAAATAGCTCCCACCTGCAGCCAGGAGGGTAAAGGCCAGGTGAGGTCATAGTTAATGTTTGTGCCAGATCTCCACCATGGGTTAAAGCAGGGCAATGGGAAAGCCAAAGGGTCTAGGTCTTGTCTTGCTTGTTCCCCTTCTACTGTGTTATGCTTCATCTCGCATGTAGGTAAATCTGACCCTGTCCTCCCCCATCTCTGGAAATACTGGTCTGGATCTCCCTTTGTTACTATGGTGTGAACTAGCCTAGCTAAGAGGCAGGACTGTGGGACTGGACCCTCCAGGAAGGATCCTTCCAAAGCCAAACTGGATTTCACCAGTGTGAGTCTCACAACCCCTTTGCCCCCCCCCCATATCCTGGCACTGAAGCTAATTAAGAAATAGCTGCTCTAGGGGGGTTAACAATAAAAACAATTCATACCTAGCTCTTACATAGCACTCTTCCTTCTGAGCTCTCGAAGGAGGTCACACTGTGTCGGGAGGGAAGCAGCTGATTGTAAGTAAGGCCCATCTGTTGCAACCCATCCTTGCTCTGCCTACAATTTGGTGAATGAAATGGGGTCCCGCTCCCTGCCACGCATCCAGCCCCCAAGGGGGGAAAAGTCAAGGGGAGCAAAGCATGCCCATTGCCCAGCCCTATCTCAGCCCCAGCGAAGGGCCCTGCTCTGTGCTGTTGCTAAGAGCCTGGGCGGCATTAATCTAAACCAGCCTTAATGAGACTTCACGGAGGACAGAAACCCAAGCTGGAGCAGCAGCCTGCGTCTGTTGAGGCCACACACAGGTGACGTTTCATGCAGGTTTGGACAGGAAATCTGGGGGTAACTTTTCCTTATTGTGCTCTGCTCTACCAAGAGTTATTGCTGAACATGTTAGACCCCCTCTGTGCCAAGGCAAGAAGGGGACCTGGTGCCATCCCAAATACAAAGAGCATCTTTGTTCCTCCATGACAATCACCCCTTTTGCATTAAGACATCCAAACTCAAGTGGGATCTCCTCTTTATAGATGCTGCATTAATCCTCCCTCAAGGAGTAGCAAAAGAGCTCCTGTCCCCAAAAGAGCCATATAGTGGAAACTGATAGTTACCTACTAACATGCTGCAAGCAAGAGGTGAAATTTTTCCACGTTGTTTTGTGCAAGCCAACAGCCAGGGACCATTTTTATACGTGCAAAGCATTTTATATACAGAAAGCTGGAACTGGACACTGGAATGTATATATTAGGTTGCAATTTAAATAGTCCTGGGGAATTTCTCACCTGGATTGTCAATGCCAGGCAGCTAAACCTGTGCCTTAAGGAAACCGTAGGATCTATGGATCCCTGCAAAAGGCTAGAAGTCAGTAGGTTTGTATGATACGCACAATGTCACCTCAAAAGGCACAAAAATCTTGGGTGGGGAGTGGCGTATAGATAAAACAGAAGTGGAGCTGATTTAAGAGCGTTGCATGTGTAATCTCTAGGTTTTTATCTTGTGCATCGTGTTTGCACACTTGACTATGCTAATATTGCATAGAAGAAGGACCTCAAGGCACTGCAGGATGCTCCGGCCCCCCGGTTGAGCATTGCTGTGCTCGTGAAATGACAGTGTTTGGCGGCCGGGTTCGCGTTCCCGCTGCCTCGCTGTCCTGCGCGTTGGGACGTGCACGAGGAGGCAGGTCATGCGGTCTGTGCAATCTTAGACATTGTATTTCCGGACTCCCCAGTGCTTTTTTGGGCAGTTTGATTTCTTTTCAAGGCATGTGCTGATGTCCCAGGGTGGCTTTTGGGGGGTTTTTGAGCATGCCTGAAAGAGATTTAAATTCCAGGCCCTTTGTGACTTAACAGGACTGTGCGGAAACAGCAAGATCGGAACAGGTTTGGCCCGTCCCTGTGCCCAAGGGAAGCCTGGCTTCTGGGAAGGGAGGCAGGGCGCCAGGAGAGCATTGCTTCACAGCTTGCATCCAGACCCTGGGAAAAGGGAGCTGGTGTGGGGTGGGGGGGGGGGGCCCGGCC